GTTACTTTAAGCTTGTGCTGGACAGCAGAGGCTCCTGTCAGACAAATCCATGTTTTTTTGACCCCTTGCAAACAGGTCTGACTGGACAGCTGAGCATGAGCTGAGTTTCACTGCATTACCCCTGTGGGAAAAACAGAGGTCCCGAGTTATGCTAGGGAGTGCCAGAAGCTGCAATAAAGACCTGGCAAACTCATTGCATGGCATAAGCATGATGAAGCCAGGATTACCAGCATGTGAATTCTCCCACATGCAAAACGTGTACCATCTTCTGGGTGATTTATTTGCTATTTTACAAATCCATCTTAGATGCAGCCTCTTGTCTTGTCTCCACATGAGGGGAGGAGGGTTTATCTATCACCCTGAATTTTCTGCAGCATGTTAAGCCTGTTCAGGAGCCATGTGTCTTGGATGCTTGGCCCTTGGCATCTCCAGCACAAACATAAACCCTCCTATTAATTGCAAAAATGTGTTGCACCAACACAGAATTTCAAGCAGGTTGACTGGCTGTTTCAGTAACTCTTCACCACCCTCCATAACAAGCACTTATTTTCAGTATTTTATTTAGGAGCAACTTGGGACATGCACAAGCCAGTACCTTCCTTGACAAATGGCAATAGGCAATCATTTGTCCCCCATGAGCATGTTTGTTCCTGCAGGAGAGCAGAGCTGGAGAGCCTTGCAGAGAGCCACATATTCTGGGCAATGAGAAACAAGACCCATGGGCTTGCAGTGGCAGAAAACATGGCAACAAAGCCAAATAAATATTTATTGGCACACAACTGGGAGTGAGAGCTATTGTCACAGTAGGGCAAAACCAAGGCAGGATCCACAGTGCTGGATTCCAAAAGCCAGGAGGAGCAGCTCAGACACAAAATGGTACAAGGCTGATGGGAGGGCTGGGTGGAGGATAGCAGCCCAAGTTTTTCTGGCCAGTGCACACAGTTGTGCTCCAGTGTTGCTCAATGTGGAATAGCTGAAGCATCATTTTTATAGCACTTTTCCTGGAAAGCAGCACTTTGCAACCCAGTTGGTGTGAGCCATATCCCCACAGCGGGTTGGCACTCAGCTGGTGTCTGTATGCTCATTTTCATTGCAGGATGATTTAGGGGGCTTTGCAGAGAGAAGAACATTAGTTGATACTCCACATTGTTTCCTGGGACCAGTGCAAGGCTTAGGAACAGTGAACTCTGTCCAACTTTAGCATTTCAATGCAACAAGCTTCTGATGTTCTTCTGTACATCAGCAGGAAGAGGTCTCCCTCCCTCTGGCAGCTAGATTTGCTTTCCCACTTGCGATACAGACAATTGGCTCCAAAATGTTAAAGAAAATCAGGGCACTGTCTTATAAGTGTAGTTCTGTGGATGGGGCTTATTCTGAAGTAGAGGAGCCAGGTGTAAATTTTTTTGTTTGGTTATATGCCTGCAGCAGTCAGAACAGGCCATATACAGCAGTATCTCAAACTGGAGCAGAATGAGCACAGACAAAACAAGAAGGGATCCTGTGAACCTTTGAACACCTAGGGAGGTGGATATCCAAGCCCCAGGCCTCCAGAGAGCTGCATGTGCTGCTACCATGTTCTGTTTGTTTGAAGATCACAGAATCACAGAGTGGTTGAGATTGGAAGGGACCTCTGGAGATTATCTGGCACAAACTCTTTTGGTAAAAGCGAAGACAAAACTTCCTCGTAGTCTGCCTGAGTCTTGGAGGGTTTCATTGGATTTGGTTGGATACAGATAATTTAATAAATAATAATTCTACTGTAATTCTACAAATACAGAGATAGTGACTTTACAGCAGTTTAAACTAAGTTTTAAGGACTCTTAAGTAACTTAGTACCCATAGCAGTTGAGAAAAGCAGTTGAGAAAAGCATAAAATTATGCTTGGTTTAGAAATTCAAATCTTGGAAATACTGCCTTGTTTTTGCATTCAAGATTTTTTCTGTACTGCATTTCAGCACAGAGTAAATTAGAAGTGGCAGGAGAAAGGATTTGGGAAGAAAAATGCAATAGAATTTGTAACAAAATGGCAAAACCCAGCTTAAAGCCATGACAGTCACACACATTAGCAAAAAGGATCTTGTCACCTCTATCAAGTGCTTCCTTTTCCAGCTCCATGGTGCAGCCCCATCTCACATTCTTCTCTGAGACACAGGGACAAAGGACATGGGTGGTTTAATCCAATTTATCCATGCAGACAAGAAATAATGTTCCCCTTCCCTGTGGTACAGCAAGTCCCATCATGGATTATATGCTTGGCTTTCCTCAAGCCACAGCTTCCAGTCATGTTGGTACATGGTTTTCCAATACTAGTCTTGACTTGTCCTTCAGGTGGCAAATTGCCCCACCACCTCTTTCCAAGCCTCAGCCACGTGACCAAACAGAGGATAATCTCCAGCCTCACCCTCTGGTTGCCTCAGTTTTTCTAGGAGAACTTTTCCAAAGTATTTCCAGTGCTATTCATGGAGCCCTCATCTTGGTCAGAGCCATAAAAAGGTTCCAGTGAGCTGTGGCATTCAATGATGAGCAAAGGCATGGTTGGAAATAACTCATCTGAAGTATACTTGGAGAAGAAGTGTTAAGAAATGAAATGTCAATGATGAGAAGCCTGTAGCCCTTCTAGAAGTATGAGATCATTCTTACATGAGAGCGCTTTAACTCTTATGCATGAAGAACTCCTCAATTATTATTAGGATGGAAATAATACAAACCATTATTCTAAAATAAAGCTGTCTGGGCTTGCAAAATTCACACTCAGATAGTGAGAAAAGGTAATTCCAACCTTACCAAGCAAACATAATCGTTCTGCACAAGTGTGTATCTTAGCTTCAGTAAGGCGAGGTTCCTGGGGAAATGACAAATGTAATTAAAACCTGTGTCATCATGTGTGCACACAGGGGAGGGCAAGCTGTGATGGTAATTGCAACTGCTCCTAGCAGGTGTTTTTCTGTTAATATGAGGTATTAAATAAAACCTGTCATGTCTTACTAACCCAAATACTCTCCTGTATGCTTCTATGCACTCTTTCCCTTACAATATGTGATAGTTCCCAGGCAGCCCCTCTGTGAGGAGACTACATGGTTTTTATGACTTTTATTTCAAGTTCATTTGCTATTTGCTGCCAGAATTTTCCCAGGAATGCAGACAAGGAGTGGTAAATGGTGATTAATTTAGACAGCCTAAGCAGAGGACTCATGACAGCTCGCCATGTATACAAGAAAGTTAACGGCTTGCTGATGTCCTTTTGTTAGCGAATTGTGTAGCCTGGTTGTTTAATGGATTGTTTAAAAATTGTGTTGGCAATAGCCTATGAATAATGTATATTGAAATACCTTACTGCCAAGAAACTGCTGATATGCTGGGGAGATTTCCATCAGATGTGAGAAAAATTTTGAAGGCACTGTCTTCTTGGGATGCCCTTTATTTATACCCTCACTGCTTCAGAGATTGCATTCCCTTTTTAGATAGTACATGTGAAGATGCCCTCCTCTGCCTCTGTCTTCCAACTCCACCGGACTCCATTTGCTTGTGCCCATCAAAGTTCTGGAATTTTTAAGAGATTAGGCTTTATCACCTGAGTACTGTAAGCATGGAATATTTCCTGTGCAATCTTCACCTGTTCTAAGTATCTGCACCAAAGCATCCTGCATCAAAGGAAGATGGACACTGGTCATGACAATGTCTCATGATGCAGGAAGCAGAAAAAGGGTCAAGTTATTTGGGGGCGGGGCGGGGAGAGACAACTTGGATTTCACAGTGTGAAATCAGTTTGGATGCCACTACATTTTCACCCATGTCCTCCTCCAGTGCAGGCCTCTGTGTGCTTTGGCCATGACTAATGGGAAATCATTGTGATATGTAGCAAATAAATTTTGCTTGACCAAAGAAATGAGAAGACTGAGGGTGAATTCCTGCTTTCAGGGGAGCTCTGAGGGTTGCACTACCTTAGGTACAAGAGGAAACAGGCCTCCTGTAGGCTCTAGGACATAGCTCAGGCAGGCATGGAAGCAGTTGCAGTCTTTTCCTTTGCTCCTTGTTTTGGCCCTCAGATCTTCTCCAGGAGAAAATAAAATCATAGCTTTGTTTCTCACGTGGAGTTTTCCCCACCTGCACTGAAATAGGAGGGCAGGTGAACAAAATATATATCACTGTGCAGAGTGGCCTCAGCTAAGTGTTTGTCAAGAGCAGAACCAGCTTGTGGAGCCTGTAGCTCTGTGCCCTGATGTGGTTTTGTTATGAGTTGCCAAGTGCTCGTGCTGCATTTTTGTCTCTGTATTTCCACAGTAGAGCCCTGAGTCAAAACATTTCCTGCAATATGGGTACTGTACTATTAGTGTAATGCTAGAACAAAGCCACACGAGGTTCATGTTGGTATTAGTCAGCTGAGGAAGTGACATCCTCACCTGGGAGGTTGATGTGTTGGGTTTTGATGCTTGTGATGCCAACAGCAAGCTCCAGGCATGAGACTACAGGGCAGAGAAAAAATGGGTTAGGAGAGGGTTTGTATCCTCAGGGTGATCTGCAACTGGCTAAGCAGAAGAATTTATGAAAATGGGAGAGAAGATTTGTGCCTTTACTGGCTTGTTTGCTGCTGGGATATAGCTGGGCATGCAGTATTTTCACAGCTCCTGGAAAAGTGTATAAAAGGGGTTAGCCTAAACACAACATAGGTGACAAGGAGCACCAGAGGTGTTTGACTAATGGCCTAAATATTTTCAGTGGAACAAATAAAGAGAAAAGGTTCTAAAACCTCCTCCAAATCCACCACCCAAAGCCCATCCTGCCAACTGAGAGGTGCTTTCAGCAGAGAGAATCACAAAGGTCTAGGCAGAGGATTGTGGCCAAGTTCAACCAGCATTTCTTGGGGTAGGAACACTGCCAGCTGGCAGTATACAGAAGAGCAACTTTCAAAGGGAAGGAGCCAGTTCTGTTATGAAGTTTATTCCACTGATGCTTCTGACGATCCTATTAATTTCTTGTTTTTTAATGTTTGTTTTATTTAGGCGAAGAGTGAAGGCCCCAAACTGGTCCCCTTCTTTAAAGCCACTTGTGTCTATTTTGTTCTTTGGCTGCCAACTTCCAGCCCATCCTGGTTCAGTGCCCTCATTAAATGTCTGCCCATCTTTTGCCTGTGGGTTTTCCTCCTGGCTCATGGGATTAACTTCTTAGTGTCACACCGGAGTGCCAGCTGCATCCTAGCAGGACTCATATTCTCAGCAGTGGGAGATGCCTTTCTCATCTGGCAGGAGCAGGGCTACTTCATTCATGGTGAGTACAGTGTCAGTCCTAACGGGATGCCACATTGCTCAGCTGCTACCCTCTTTATTTAGTAATGAGTTACTAGGCCACATGTTTTGTTTATTCATGTACAGCTTAAGCTCCGGACACTGGGAAGCACTCATCCCTTGACTAAAATCCGTCATGGTTTGAGGAATCACGTCATGGATGAGTCTTGCTCTTGAGCTTCTCTTGAGGTTAGAGAGGTAACTGGTTCAGGTTAGGTTTCCTGGGATGTGCCACAGCATCTGGGCTGGCTGGAGTTGAGAAGGTGGCATGCCAGAATCCCTGGGGAAGAGAAGGAAATGCTCATGGCACTCGTTAGTTCCTATGAAGCTACGGGAAGTATTTACCTCCTATCTCTCTGCAGGGAGATCTGTCAGCCCTTTGCTGTGAGGATTGGGGATGGAACATATTGTCCAAAGGTCCTCAGTGGAGAACAGGTGGAGAGGACATTTATGTTTTGATAGACAAGCCCATAGCCTGGGGGAGGCATTAAGTGGATGATAGAAACCAAAGCAGCAGCAATCTTGTCCTACTTGCAGGTTCATCAGTGTGAATCATGCAGTTGTACAAGACATGTCTGTTTTGCAAAACATTTAAATGATGTTCAGTCAAGGACAAACCTTACTGCAGTGGTCTGTATTCTCTACAGAAAGATCCACATCTCAGAGCAAAATGAGCTTGGTTTGTTTTGCTAGTTTGCAGACTGGAACATAATGATTCAGATTAGTCATTTAAAGCCATGTTGAATCTGCCTGCAGCAGCTCTCTCCCTGGCCTTGGACTGTCACAAGAAATCAGCAGCAGTTGAGTCCTTCACTGAACCGACTGGTGGGGTTTCTGAAGTTAATTTAACCAGCACAGGGATCACACAACACCCATCATTAACTGGCTGCTGTGACTATCCCACTGGAAAATGTGATGAGATGAGGGAACTTTCCTGACTTGTTCTGTTGTCAGCTCTGAAAGTCAAAGGCTTATTTTTTCCCCTCTCTTATGAGGTTAGTATTTAGTTTTATTCTGGTATTCCCACAAGCTGTTTCTTTATGAGAAGGAAGTATGTACAGTGCCAGATATAAAAGGCCAAATGCTCTGAATCTGCTTTTTATCCTGCTTCCCAAGGGCTTATCCCCATCCCATTAAAAGTTCATGTAAAAAAAATGTTTACTGATTTTGCTGGGGTATGGACTAGGCCCTGAGGATTGCATCTATCTGGCTGAACCTTGGGTATGTTCCTGAGGAGCTCCAGCTTTCTTGAGGTGCCATCCCTTCTGTGCTGAGTGTTGACATTCACACCCAAGGGTCTCCTCCCAACAGGAGTACCTGGCTCAGTCACCTCAGCCCAACTGCTTTTGCCTCCTGGAGTTGCTCCTTGAGCTATGGCTTGGGAAACATTCAAGGCCCAATTCTCCCTGTGATCATTTTTGTGCACGGACTGTTCCATGCTTCTCCATTCCCATGTAACTGGTATATCTCTGAGTTTCCTCTCCATGTTAGTGCTAGAGGAAGGGTAACCAGTCACAGTAATTGAGCATCTTGTTGATGTGCTTTAATCTGCAAAGGAGTTGGGTTTTCAACTTTAGTCTCACAACTGAGAAGTTCTGCTTTGTGGGTTCAGACACATTTTTTTCCTCTTAAGGAGAAGGAAAACTCTGTTGGAGCATTTTGAAAATCTCAGCCCACTGAGCTGAGTTGAATGAGTAAACCTGGGAGCTGACTCCCTTGTTTGTGACAGCCTCACCACATATCACAAAACTACCTTCTGTAGGGAAGTGTTAATATTTACATTTCAGATATAAGCGGATAAAGTGCACCGCTCCACTTCATCCTTCACTTTGCCTGAAAAATGTATTTTCTCCTATTTAAAACTCATCAAATTGCTGTTGCTGATAGCTGACAATAGTTTTGACATCATCAGTTGTAGGAATTTGAAGTTTCAGGAGAGAAGAGAAAATACTGGATAAAAATCTACATTCTGTTCAATTTCTGCAGTTTTTGGACTGAAAAGGGTTGGAAACTGGGCTCATTTGAAAAGCTTTTGAGACAATGAGTTTATAAAAGGACATTTGTTCATTACTTTATAGGGAAGTGAGTGCCTGGGAACCTACTCCTGACACGTTTGACTTTTTTTCATTTTTGCTGTTTCAGTCTGCTAATAGCATGTTATTTTCTGACTAGTGTCTTACTGCATGTAGAAGATACTTTACCATGTTAATATCCACCTCCTTTGATAGAAGGCACTTAGAAACAATTTATGCATTTGGTAAAGAAGACAGGGACTAGCAAAAAGGCCTTATTACTAGCCTGAGGAAACCCAGAGGAAGAAAGTGGGAGAAAAGGGCTGATCTCCCTGATGTAGTTAAGAGAACCAAGCTAAGGACTGAGAAATGCACCCCCTTCCCTGTGCAGCCATCAGTTTTCCCCAGTTCCTGGCTTGATTTGTGGGTGTTGAATGAGTAAACCTGGGCGCTGACTCCCTTGTTTGTGACCAGCCTCACCACATATCACAAAACTCCTCCTGCCTTTCCAGGCTCTTTGCCTGCCACATCCTGTCCTCTCCTCCTCCTCGCTGCCAGATGCCTGCATGAAGGACAACACATTCTTCAGTCCCCTGTTGCAGAATGTTCCATATAATGCCACTGAAGGAAAAAAAATTCCTCACTGCTAGGGTGACATATTCTTCTTCTTACCACCTCCCTGGGCTCTAACCTTTCCTGCAGTATAACCTTATAAAGAGCTCTTGTCCTAAATCCCTTCTCAGTTTCTTCAGTGTTCTGTCCATGAGGTGCAATAGCTCTGTGAAACATCAGCTTCTTGTTGTCCTCTTTTGTGCTTCTTTTCTTTCCCCTTCACACTGTACATTTTCTCTAGCCTCACCCTGCAAAACACCAGTTCTCTGCCTTTTGTGGATTTTTCTCATCCCACCATGGCTGAGCTCTCTGTGGGTGTCTGATCTGGTCCTCCCAAAGGGAGGGAGACACTTCCACTTCCTTGGGCTGCCTCAACACAAGAGTAGTAGGATGAAGCAACATCTGCCAGCTGCAGGTTTTTGTGACTGCCTTTTACACCAGTGCATCATGTGTTAAATGTTAACAAGTGTCCTGCTGGAGAACTCAGCTTCCCAGATCCTTTTCTCCATTTCATGCTGTAGAATTGCATGAAAACTTCCAGCTCCTCTAATAACCCTGCCAGGATAAAGCTGGAGAGCCTGCAGCTGCACCATGTATGTGTCTGGGAACCAGAAGACCCAAGGAGCTGGGCTCTGTAGCCCATTATCTACAGTTGTCATGACAGCTTGGAGACAGCAGCTGTACCAACACATTGGGACATATTTTTGTCAAATGGATTAGTGGCAAGTGAATAACATATGGGCAACACCTTCTAACACCCACATTTGGCACTTTTCAGGGGTGTTGCACTTGAAAGGGAAACCAGCATTTTATTTTCTCTGACTGATTCCTGGTAAGGTTCATCTGAGTCTTGCAAATAGCCATAAAGTTGTTGGCAGATCACATTGGTGCAGTCCCATATGAAATATGCCAGCTGTTTCTTTCCAGCTTAGGCAGAGATGGAGAAGCAGCCAGATTTAGTCCTCAAGTGCCTTTGGGTTTGTGGCTAAATATGTGCAGGCTTTGTGTCAGGGTTCAGAGGGGTTTGTGTCTTTTGTCATGTTTTGTTCCTACACTGCTGTGGTTCCAGTGTTCATGTTCCACATGTGACCTATGAAGAAAACACTGTGGATAGTTAGAGGGGGTGATCTTTGGTCTAACTTCCTCCCAACCTTCCATCCAAAGCAGGGGAAGAGGAACTACCTGAAAAACAAGATCAATTCCTTCTCAATCAGCTTCCATCAATTCCACCCAGCTTATCAGCAGAAAGGCTTTTGTCACAGCAGAGCTATACTTGGCTGCAGCTGTAATTGTGCTGGGGCTTTTTTTTAGGTTGGGGACTTGGTACTGTCTGCCATGTACAGATTTTTGTAATAAAATGGTCCCAGATGGTCAGTATGGTTATCACTGGTAGTGTAACTGGTAGGTAACACTGCAAGGAATGCTTTCCTCTGGCAGCCACTGATGAAAGATCACACTTTCTGTGACAATGCCTCTCTTCAGGTCTGCTGATGTTCTCCATCACACACATCCTGTACTCTTCAGCCTTTGGCATGAAGCCTTTGGACCTCAAAGCCGGCTTGCTGATGGGCGTTGTTTCCAGCTCCTGCTATGCCTTCCTGTACTCCTACCTCTCGGGCCCCTTCACCTACCTGGTGGCCGTCTACATCGGCCTAATCGGCTTCATGGGCTGGTGGGCGGTGACGGGCGTGCAGCTGTGCAATGACCTGTGGACGTGGACCAAGCTGTCGGCCTGCGTGGGTGCCATGCTCTTCATGGTGTCGGACCTCACCACCGCGCTCAACGAGTTCTGCTTCCCTGTGCCCTACTCGCGCTTGATCATCATGGCCACCTACTACGCCGCCCAAATGCTGATTGCGCTGTCGGCCGTGGAGACCAGAGAGGAAGAGGACTTCAGGGAGAGGAGCTAGGTGGAGTGCCAATAGTCTGTGAACACATGGGTTGTGTCTCAGGTGCTGTAGCTGCATTCGCCCCTGAGAGAGATTGCCATTTCTCTAGGCACACTGGTGTTGATTTTGCTTCTTTGAAGCATTACCTTTGGGAATTACTTTTTTTTTTAATTGGCTTTCTCTGAATACAGCTTACTTCAGTGTGGCGTCCCCATCAGAATGCTTAGACTGTCCCTCCAATAGCTACTCATTCAAATTTTTCTCCTTGGAAGTGCTCTACTACTGCATTTTGCTTGTAAGTCTTGAAATTGATGCTGAATGTCTGGGAAGAGGAGGTCTGGTGGAAAGGAGGTTTGGCCATGAACTGTGCTAAAAGGCTTGCTCCCGACTGTAGGCAGACAAGCACAGATCTCTGCTAAAGTCATAGGTAAAAGTTAATTTAACCGATGTTTGTCTTTTTTGTGCATTACAAACTCAGTATGCAAACTGGAGCTGAAAGGAAGCTTGGAGGGAGAGTAAAAACATACCCAGTGGGGAGCTGAGCTCTGGAATCAGTGGCAGCATGTGGGGCAGTACTCAGCAGAACCAGCATGAAGGCAGAAACCCAAGCAGAGGCCACAGAGCAAGAGGTGTGCTGGCAGTGCCGTGTGCTTTAATTGCAGTGATCACTGTTCCAGGGCAGGTCTCTAGGTGCAAGTCAGCATTGCTGCTTGTGGCAGAACTGTAGAAAGCAGGAGTTTGGTGGGATTTCAGGGATATCTCGGTAGCCAGGCCAGCATGTTCTCCCTCACCACGTGCACACAGTTACACGGTGCCTACAGCCACCAGTGAGATGTAATGGGCACACGAGGAACTTTGATTTTTAAAGCAGAACTTACTCCTTCTCTTACTTAGTGTATGCCCTAATTATCCCAAATCTTCATGCCTTTTTTCTCCAACGTCCTAACAAGTAATATTCCATGTACCCATTAAGCTTTAGTAGCACTTTCAGTAGTACCTTTAGTACTGCTGCCTGCAGTATCTTAAATCTTTGTGTGAGCATTTCCTGTGATCAAGGCTCTGATTTTGGATGTAGATTGCTATGGTTTGCCAGCTGATGGAAAATGATCCTCTTTACACCACTTCTTTTTTTCTTTAGAAAGTTCTTTTCAGCAGAGCTTCCTGAAAAGCACTGTCCTTTGTCTTCAACATGCCTGTCACTTCCTTCTCAAGCTCACATGGACTCACATAGACCCTTGCTAGCTTTTCCCTTGTGTTGAGAGGTGCTGAGTGGGTCTCCTGCTCCTCTCCAGCCTCACCTGGTGTGCCTGGCAGGGAATAGGCATTGCCTCCCCATGACTTCTCCATCAGTGCAAATGCAGCCAGTATTACAGAAATCTGGGTTAACCACCCTGATCCCGTGGGGGCATCTGCTGCTTTTCAGACAGGGATCAGAAAGGTCAGCTGCATTATGGAGAGGGAAAGCACTGTAGGTAGCACAGCCCCATGTAATCCTTTCCCTTTAATGCTGTTATGTAATACTGTCAGTATTCATTCACTGGCACATCGGGACCTGCCTGGAGTAAACAGCTAAGGGAATTTAGGGCCATAAACCATTTTCATTCATCAGCATTGCTTATCTCCTGGCCACACATTGAACCCTGCACTGTAGTTCTCTGCAGATGTCACCTGCTGTTACTCATCTTGGCTGTTTGCAAGTCTCCTCCTGCAACAGGGTGACCCAGCTAAGCATTTGGGGTGAGTCCCAGCATCCTCCCAGCATGTGAGCAAACAGCACACTGCAGTCTTTGAGTCTCAGCTCCTTGGCATGGGTCAGTCCAGCACACTCAGTCCTTAGCTGGCAGTTCTTCAGAGGAGCTCCCCCACATCCTGAGCTTCCCTTTGCTTTGAGGGAAATGCTTGTGTGATAAAGTAAGCTTAATTTAAAAATCTTGAGTTTTGATTCTTTTTTTTCCTCTCTAGAAACGAGTAGTCTGTCTGAAAATAGCTGAGTTGCTTTTCTATGTGCTTTTTCTTCTTGGCTTGCTTTTCTGTCCTGCTCTACCATCAGCCACTGGATACTTGCAAAAAAGAGTCTTAATGTCTTATTAGGAGGCCCCTCCTCTCCACACTCCTTCAGAGGTGCAGTTTCTGGTGGCAGAGGTCTCTAGGTGGGACAGCAGAAACTTGTGCAGCCTAAGTGGGCTGTTGTTCCCGTGCTGTCCTGGGACAGATCACCTGGAGTGACTTGGCTGGGACACATTGGCCAGTCACATTAGCTCCATCCCAGTGCTGCAACAGCTTCAGCCTTCCTGGGAACACGAGGCAGAGCCCTCAGCATGCAAAGGAGAGTCCTGGTTGGCTTGGAGGTTTGCTGGCAATAGGCTCTTGATCTTCAAAATCTCTCTCTGGCTCTGCATTCCTCTTTCTAATCTATATTACTTGAATGAGACTGTTTTCCTGAATGCTCTTTCCTGCTGGGAAGAGACCAGTTGCTGTGGACTGTGATCTGACACAATTCTGAAATGCCTAAATCCTGAGAAGTACTAAGCAGTATTGGCCGGCTGTTAAATAACTTTTCTCGGGAATAAAACCGTTCCCTCAACCCCAGCGAGGCAATCTTCACTTGGAAATAGAGCAAAAAAATGAGTGGTGTTCATATGTGACAAATAATGTTGCTGTCCTGTTGCCTCTTTGCATTGTAAAACTGAGGTTTCATTCTTCATCTTTTCAGCACAGTCCTTAAGAGTCCTTTGGCTCTTTAACTGGACATATAAAAGATGCAGCGCATTCACTTCAGCCTCTTTCTGTAGGCAGATCCTCCTTGCAAAGAACTCCCAGGGTCAGTCAAAGAAGCAGTGCTAATTGCAACTTGTTTTTAAGTGCTAGTAATTCTTCTGGGCTGTGTCACAGTGTGATGCTCATGTACCAATGGCAGGTCAAGACAAACAAAGCCAGAGGATTTTAACTTCAAACTTTATTCTTACTCTGTGCTGAATACCTGGCTTCTTACTCCTCCATATTGAGGCATCTGTATGACCAATTGGTTTAAGAATTGATCTTACATGGCTTTTGACTAGATTACTGAAGGTTTCATGTTGTCGTCAGTGGAGGTAATTTATATATTTTTGCACAAGCTTATAAAATTCCCAAGAGGAGCTTGGCAGCTTTAAGTGGCTTTTCAAAGTTTTCCAGTCCTGTTGCTTGACACTTAACACCTGCATTTTCATCTTGCTATCATGGTATTTTTGGGAGCTGTTCTGGAAGAAGCAGATCAAAGCAAACAGCAACTGTAGAGCTTAGTGGCAGGTGCCTCTTTCTCTTTGCTTGGTTTCTGAATACAGACAGGGTCTTTTATGCAGAGGCATCATAACTATCTTCTTGGAAGAGGATGGGAAGTTGCTGTCGTCTCATGACAGAAATCCTCCTGGGTAATTCTCTTGCCTTTTATCCATGCTCACTCCTTTTATGGCCTTGGGTGAGTCACTTAAATTTTCTGGGGCCAGGTCCACATCTGGTGTATGAGGGCCAGTGCAATGCCGAGTTATTCCAGCAGGGGACCAAGCTCTCACCCCATTCTAAAATGGAGCTGCCTTTACCTACCTCACAAGGGTGACGTGAGGATTGATGTTCATACAGAACTTTGAAGATGTCAAGTGTCACAAGTATTATCCAACTTTAATGTTAAAATTCCTTTTAGGGATCTGCAGGACTTCTCTTAAAACATGGAATGCGTGACTGCCTTTTCAATTTGCATCAGATAGAAAAAAAAGCAAAATATTTATTCATGCTGGTTAACGGGATGTGCTCAGCTATACTTGAACTCTGAGGGAGGTTTAGCTTAAAAATCTGAACTCTCTAATTTCAGTTTTTTAAATGGTTTTTAGTTCTTCTAAAAGGCTTGACCAAATTCTTAGATGCAAACCTTGCATCCAACTTTTGCAGTCTGCTCTTGTCCCTCACTGTTAGCTACAGTAAGTATAATCCAGCCAAAACAGAATATTTCACAATCTGCTGGGGCTTTTGAACAAGCTGGAACAGAAAATGAAGTCATTCTGTTCAACCTTCAGTCTGCAGAAGGTCAGATGGGTTTCATGAGGCAACTTTCAAAGGGATGTTTAATTTCTCTGATTGTAAGTTTTACTGGTTTGAAAATCAGCAGAGAGAGAAAGCTTTGATGGAATCAATAAGGTCAGCACATCCTTCTTGAATTCCTTTCTTTTCACGTGAATCAAGGAAGCAGTGGGTTTTGTAGCAGAGGAAGTGCTTGTACCACCAGTCCTATGGCCCAGAACAGAAGTTGATCTAGAAATACAGCTCTCAACAATCACCATGTTCTCAACTAAGATAAAAATGCTACTGTTCACTGATCTAAATCTGGACCACAGCTAGAAACTACCTAGTTTTTGTAGCACTAGCTGCTGTACAAACACAAATGAAGGCAAGGAATTACACACCAAGGAATGTGAACTGTGTACATGCGAAATGGACCATAATTTTGAAGCAGCTGCGGTAAAATTTTCATATGAACTCAGAAGCAGACACAATGCAAATTTTTATGGTTTCTTTAAAATATTTGATGGGTTTTCATTTTCTTAGTCTGGGGAAAATTTTCTTAATGTTATTTTAGTTTCACTCTTACTGTAATGAATAAAAACACACAACTCTACACAGACTCCAAATGAAAAAACGTGGCAAATTGGCAGGAATGCCAAAAATTCTGTGGCTTGTATTGTTTCTGTGGTGACAGTATGCTGCTGTTGGGTGAACTACTGGAGTGGTGTGATGGCTCAAAAGTCAGGCTGAAACACATGATGCAGGGGTTGAACCACCAAGACTTCAGTGGGAACATGACTGGGCCAATTCGGATCAGTCAAAAGACAGAGCATACAGAAATAAAAGACACCTTTTCCTGACAGAAGAAAAGCAAGAAACCATTGCCCGTTGGGCAATGGTGCTGAATCATTATAAACATATTTATCTAGACCCTGCTGGTGCAGGTTCCTGCTGGACCAAGCCTTGCTCCTAATTCAGCTGGAGAGGCTTGCTCCAAGCCTGTGGTGCTGGCAGGTCAGGACAGCAGAACCTGAATCTTAGTTAAATAAAACTCAAAAAGCAGAAAGCAAAAACAAGAACAAAACCCAAAAAAAACCACAAAAAAAACCAAACAAAAAAAACAAGGAAGGAAAAAGCAAATGATACCGGGCAAGTGGCAGTTCTGCCTGCCTGAGAATGCAGAGTGGCTGGTCTGTCCTGAACACTAATCTTTATCTTGGACCCATGTGAGTGTCTTGCTCCAGCCCCTCTCCCACACATTCCAGGCCAAGTGCACTGAAAGATGTGTCTGAAACAGCTGCTCTCCTCTGGGGAGTCAAGCACTTTGCCATGTCTGAAAGTCTCTAGCACTTACTTTCTTTACTGTGATTGTAAAGGTGACCACATACAGTACAGCCACTTGATCTGGGA